TATACTGCTAACCACTATCCATCTCTGCTTAATATTGAAAAATGCTTTATGTAAAAAACAAACACACCACAAATCGACCGAAACTCAGAATTATCTACTTCCTAAGAAAATATAAAAAATTACTTATTCACTAGTAACAAAACATGATGATACACAATCTGGCTGCCTGCTTGAATTTCTGAGCTACCTGTTCCTGACATCTAGATATTTTAATAAGTTACCCACTTTAATTTGTTTTAAGACATTATTAATTCTGTTGATCGTATCACCTATTCAGACACGTTTATAAAAAGTTTACGACCTATCGATGTGCAAGTGACAAAAAATTACAATCAAGGATATCGTGTAAGTATTATGCATTGAAAGGAATATACTTTATTCAGATGTCGATCCCTGAATTGTCGACATCTGACAGGCGATCACTAATTTGCAAGGCAAACAGTCTTCAATTCCTACTAAGTCTAAGCATGTATCGTAAGTGTGGTATAATCACAATTCAAGAATCCTGATTACTATTTACAAAATGATTACTTCGTATCACTACAAGATTTCAATATTTATCGTTAGGATTGATCAAGCAATAAGAAAAGGGAACTTGTTGAAATACCTTATGCTGAGAATTCTACATTGTGCCAAAAATATAATATTGAATAAAGCCATTATTATTAATAAATAATGCATAGATTTTTGACTGATTTAATTATTATTATAGTTGAATTCATAAGTCAATTGAATCTAGACTACCATGGAAAACCTTGAAACACTGGACAGCCGTTTCGTCCTATTGTAGAACTCCTCACCAGTGAACATCCACGATCCCGCCTCGCGAGATTCAGATCCAGGACCTATCAGTCACGCGCGCGAATGCCTAATCACTAGACCACCGAGCCGGTCGTCATCTAACGGTGTTAATGTCTAACTTTAACCGATCCACGAATTATATCACAAAAATTTATTCAGTTTGGTAACATATTGATTTGATCCTATTTAATCAAAATTGAGAAATAATTACTAAACGATATGTTATGTGCTACTAAATAGATTAAAAGAATAATTTTATATATTTTCATAATAAATATATAAAATCAGTTCGAGGAATTGTTTAGAAAAAAAATTGGCAACAACCACATAAATAGTTTTCTGATCATTTGCTACAGTCCACGATTATGTATTTCATTAGTAACAAAATGAATATTTTGAGGCTATCCGCCCTAGATACATTTGTACCAACAAATGCTGATCAGTATTTGGTGTCGAATAATATAACGACCACCTGTTTAGTGAATGTTAATTAGTTGAAAGTAGTTGTCAGGATTCCTTAGACTAAAAAGACATAGCACTGGTTAATATACAGTGATCAATCAACTGTGAATATATCAGACCCATAGGAAGTTAGTTACAGCTCAAACAGCTAGGTGGTTACATCTCAGATTATGAAGTTGATTGGCTCTCGTTGGAATCCTGCAGCAAGTATCACTTTCCTAAAGATAAAATATAAGGCCTACTGGTGAGTGCCAGGTTGCAAGAAATTTGGATCCAAGGTTTCTTATCAGCTACCTCCTACCACCTAACAACAAAAAGTTTGTAAGCGATTTCAGGTTTCCTATACTTATGGCCGTTTGATTGACAAAATTCGTTCAATACTATGGAACCGGATAAATATAACATTAATTACCACCTGGTAAGCAATTAATTATAATGGATGTTAGAAAGTAATGAAAAACACTTTTGTTAAAAATATTTATGCAGATTAGATGAAAACAGTTAGTTATTCACTGAGGTAAATTGTTACTAACCATTATAAATTGGTCGGTGAAATTAGTAAATCAAAGAAAACTTTTATATTGCGAGTTAGTAAATTCCCATCTGTAATTCTAAATAATTTGAAATTATTATTGTTATTATCATTTCTGTTAATGGCTCTATTCAATATTATATTATTGGCACAATATAGAATTCTCAGCAAAAAGTATTTCAACAAGTTTCTTTCCCATAATTCTTTCATCTACCCTGATAATAAATAATGAATGATCACCAGTTAGATGAACGTCAAGACAGTCCTACTGTACGGAGTTGAAACGTGGAGAACTACTACATCCATCGTCAAGAAGGTACAAGTATTTATAAACAGTTGTTTACACAAAATACTCGACATTCACTGACTGGATACCATGAGCAACTGCGTTTTATGGGAGAGGACAAACCAATTTCCAGCTGAAATTAGGAAAAGACGTTGGAAGTGGATAGGACATACATTAAGGAAATCAACAAACTGCATCACGAGGCAAGCCCTAACTTGGAATCATGAAGGGAAGCGGAAAAGAGAAAGGTCAAAGAACACATTAGGCCGGGAGATTGAAGCAGATATGAAAAGAATGAATATTAACTGGAAAGAACTGGAAAGGATTACCTAGGACAGGGTTGAATGGAGAATACTGGTGGGTGGCCTATGCTCCTCAACGAGGGGTAACAGGCGTAAGTAAGTAAGATCACTAATTTTATTGATGAATCCGGATATTTGTAAACGTCTAGTCTTTACTCATTCAGCTTCATAAAAAAGTTTATTTAAACTGATGAATTATATATCATAAATTCCATCCACATGTTTATTTTGTGGCTAAATGTGACTATTTTTGACTCATAAGCAAAACTTAATTCTGTTGTTCCTAAATCAATAAAAATCAAGTTAAAATTCATATCTATTACACATATGTATGGCTATCTGGACTCAGTAGCTGAAGAGATAATGTATTGGATATCACGTTCAAATTCTGGAGTGAATATCAACTCTAAAGTGCAGGTACATCTAACCGACAAACCTCTAAATAGGACGAAACCTGAGACGTAGATTCCACTTTTAGCTACATTATATATATCCTATATAAACCTGTAACATAATGGCTATATCAAAACTATCTGAAAAGGCACACATGTGCAAATTAAAACTAATTAAAATTTTTAAAGTATCAATAAACTTATTTTCTAACTTATTTCAAATTTAATCATAGTTCAATAGTCTCATTGTTTCCAAAAAACATTACTAAAGAAAAATGTAGTTTTTAATAACAATGAAGAATTTCAGGCTTGTATGATTGCTTTGTGCACGTTTGACCGTACGCGGTGACTGGCATTAAGACCTTTATTGATTGAATAGTGTCACGATAATCTCAAAATGTATGCTTAACATATACATATCAACCATAATACTTAAATAGGTATTAATTAATATTAATATTAAACATATGATACAAATTGATACTCTTGGATAAATTCGCTTACTGATTCTAACTACTTAACACCTTCATATTATCAGTGATCCTATATGTTTCAGGCTGAAGCTATTACCTTGCACATCGTGTTGATCCAGTCGATAAAAACTGACGGTAACACTTACACTTCTAGACTCTACTAAGCCATGGAGATTGATTGAAGATCGAAGGCACAAAGAATAAAGTTGGAATGTTCAATGAAATGAAGTGTGACAGAAATAAAGTGTTCCCGTCAAACAATCAATATCTGCAATGACGCTGCCTTCTCGTAACAAAAGAAAGTGGTTCGAAAAAGCAGACCTTAAAAATGTTCTATCACACTTAAACCCCAAGATTCCTATTCTTTGGTTGAGACCCCGGGAAATACACTCAGGCGATGTCTATGTCATAGATCGGAGCACTAACCATTCGGACTTTATGTCAAGTCAGAAAACAGGTTCTATTAGCTTCGACCCTAGAGTCCCGTATCATTAACCATTAAAATTACAGAAGCATGGAAAAATACTATCATAGTATTGATATGTTGAGTAGACTAAATCACTATAGAATCAATTTAACCTAGTGATCAAGCATAAGTTCTTACATATAAAACTTTATTACATATGCTCTCTATGGGATTGAAACTCCCCACCATCATCCATATTTGTTATTTATGTTACTAAAGTACAACTTTACATTCAAATATATCACTGTAGACAACAACTTAATATTCATAGAATGAGCAAAGTAAACTGATATTCAGTTGTAATCAGAATAGTTCATAGCAAACACAAAGAAAACAACTCAATTAATGAAACTTCTGAGAATGTTACCCTGAAGACAGAATATATTATGACTAATATTTAAAGTATAAATAATAAACACTTAGTAATCATAAATGGTCTACAGTAAACAAATGAAATTCAATAATTTCTTAAATTATATTCAAAGTATTGTAAGCAAAGATGGATAGTGGGTAGCAGTGGAATCCAGGATGCGCGTTTCATCCTATTTGGGAACCGTCAGCTGGATGTACTTGCATTTCAGAGTTGATGTTCACTCTGGGACTTGAACTCAGTAACATTCTCTTCAAACAAACAATACTAAGTAGATTTATATTCAAAGTACTTACAATAGAAACAATTAGTTATTGTATGAAAAACAAATAGAGAACAACAGTGATAACATTGAACAAATTAATCTTTATCTTGGCAAATGTATGAATCTACTAACTTTATCAACAATAATATAATATTAGTACATGGTTGTGTAGATTGTTGAATTTCATTGATATCAGGAAGTGATCAAACTTAAACAACCATACCGACAATCTTCACAACCCTATACTGATAACTAACGTATACTCACAAGTGACTGTCCGGGTTTCTAGTGACCAGTGGAGTTCGAACGTGTCTGATATAAGGAAGTTAAAAACTGAAGAAAATGAATTATAGTAGCTCAATATGATGTATTAATTAAAGTTGGACTTGTACACCTTTCGGTACCGGATAATTGATCTAAAGGTTGAGTTGGTGCGAGAATGAAGGTCATAGATTCTATTTTTAATTGTAGGGTCGTGAATGCTAAGAATTCCCATACGAACACAGCTATCTAATCCTTTCCGGTTTTTAGTGATGATCTGACTGAGATCAGTCCGTAATGTGCACTATAAAAATGTATATCACCAAAAGCTAATTCAAAATGTAAAAAAATGTAAAAGTAACCCTCCTTCCCTAAAAATAAATAACTTACAGCTTCAATTACACAAGGTGTAGTTGGCTCACATTTGTCTTGTATAAATTGTTGCAAAATTACATCATCTTTGAAACTGGCACGTTTTGTATAAATATTATATGTTCCAAGTGTAGCTAAATTTATGGGTAATTTTTAAAAAAAAGAATATAAGTCAATGTAGTTATTATTAGACATTATTTGTAAATATTAATAATAATGTTAATATTATATAGTTGAGATCATGAGTCAATTGAAGCTAGACCACCATGGAAAACCCGAAAGCACTGGACAGCCGTTTTGTCTTATTATGGGACTTCTCAGAAGTGCGCATCCACGATCCCGCCTCGCGAGATTCGAACACAGGACTTATCGCTAGGCGGGATCGTGAATGCACACTGCTGAGGAGTCCCATAATAGGACGAAACGGCCGTCCAGTGCTTCCATGTTTTCCATGGTGGTCTAGCTTTAATTAACTCATGAATTCAACTAATAAATTACTATAATATCCACATATCCACTCCCTGATTAAAATATAGAATCATTTAAAATGAACACTTCTGTCTACCATCGTTTAAAAGAAAAAGCATTAGCGATTGGGAATGCGCACTGCTGAGGAGGATGAAACGGCCATCCACTGCTTCCAGGTTTTCCATGGGGATCTAGCTTTAATTGACTCATGATCTCAACTATATAAAATCACTAAAATCTCCACAAAACCCCCTTCTGATAATAATGTTAATAATTAAGGGAAGGAATTTATTAAAATTTGAAAAATTCCCATATTGTGATTTAGAACAACATATATAAGCGAACAATATTGTTTTCGATTAGATCCTCATCAGGCTTTACTCTAATATACAGTAATATTTATATGCATATACGAAATTATTAAACCAATCAAGGCAGTTTATGAGTCAATTATAACAGTGGAATAGATTACATAATCAAAATTAATAATAAGTGAAAAGTACAAATTGATAGTGTAATGACAGGTGTACTAGTTGTGATAAGAATAATAAAAGGCTTGAATCAATGTTACATAATAGGGAAATAGGTCAATGATTAGAAAAAATATAGACACTGAAATAACATTCATAGAAATTATAAGATTACGTAATAAGAAGTGTTCAGATAATAAATAAATTATTCTACAGAATAAAATAACCGATTTTCTATTATAGTTTCATTGAAGTGAATAACAATTCGAAATTAACAATATCGTATAATTTTATTATTGATGTTAAATCACTTGTAGAATTGATAAATGTTCCACAAATGTAACAACTTTGGTAATTTTAATAGTTGAGACCATTAATTAGTTGAAGCTAGACCACCATGGAAAACCTGAAAGCACTGGACAGCCGTTTCGTCCTATCTTGGGACTCCTCCTAGTGATTGACTTCAAAAGAAATTTCTTGGAGTCCAAGTGAGAAGCATTTACCGGTGGAGCTCAACCGGGTCTATGGTGAGATAGTAACTCACTGAAGACAATGGTGGATGTGTCGCTCTATTTCGTGGATTGGTTGAAGTTAGGCATTAACACCGTTGGATGCCATGCGGCTCAGTGGTCTAGAGGTTAAGCGTTCGTGCACGAGACTGATAGGTCCTGGGTTCGGATCTCGTGAGGCGGTATCGTGGATGCGCACTTCTGAGGAGTCCCACACTAGAACGAAAAGACCATCCAGGTCTTCCAGATTTTCCATGGTTGTCTAGCTTCAATTGACTCATGATCTCAACTATTGAAATATATGTATGAGATCAAAGAGTAAGTCACGTTACAGCATATAATTAAGTTACTAGATAAGAATAGTATAAGAGAAATAGTTTTTCCTTTAAACCGTAAATCATATCATCTAAAAAATAGTTTATCTTCATAGTGATTTTCATAAAACGTTTTAGATAGTTAAAAAAACCTCGGTTGAAATACTAATAGATCATATTTATTCTCAAGTCTCATTCTCTTAATTCTGTTGAGATGAACATCTGTAAAGCTTTTCTTTTTAAAAAAAAGATTGAATAGTCAAGGAATTTGGTTAACAGCAAAATTTTCTTCAGTTTGATTCATTTCATGTGTGAATTTAAAGTTTATACATATTTATATAATATCACGTTTTATGTAAACAATTTCGAGTGAATACTTGAAGTCAATAAATTTGATATGAATTATCTGTTAACTTCGCCTGTAGCTCTTATAGAGTTATTGCCGGTCCCAAGCCCGGGTAAAGGAGAAGGGTTGTGCATGGGGTAGAAAACTAACTCGCTGAAGAAACGCTAACCAGAACTGGCGGGCTGTCTATGCTCCTCCACAAGGGGTAACAGGCGTAAGGAAGGAAGGAAGAATTATTTGTTGACTCATGCTGAGAGTTCTATATTGTACCAGACTATAATATTGAATAAAGCCATTAATAATAATAATTTACTTAAATCTCAACCCTATAATTAACATAACAACTGTAATGGTTTAGACTAACATGTGGTTGATATTTTTACAAACATTTGATGGGTTTTAGTTGGTGAATGTAAACTATGTACTGATTACCTTGATATAGACATTATGACATAAGTTTCTATAGAATAGATGGAATATGGTTAGCATTGGAATCTAGGATGCGAGCATCGTACGATCTTGGGACTTCTTAACTGGATAAACCTTCACCCCAGAGTTTATGTACACTCCGAGATTTGATCCCAATAGATTTCGCTTCAAATGCCAGCATATTACACTAGTAAGTGTCTATCTGAACTCAGTAGCTATGTAGGTAAATTGTTGGGTACTGGGTTCTAGTTCATAGCTGAACATTAAGTCTATGATGAAGGTACATCCAAGTTAAAAGTCGCAGATAAGACGAGACGCGTGCCCTGAATTTTATTGCTAGTTGAATTCCATCATAATATACACCTGTTTATTACAAAATAAGTCAGTATTCAAAGTATCTTTTAGGCCGACTAAATTGAATTCAAGATATATCAAACAATATCATTCTGTTAACCATAGTGTATAGTATTTTAATGGTTGAATAGAATCCTATAAATCGAAAATCATCTTCTTACGTACAAAAGAAATCAATCTGATTGTGTCTGATAAAGCATTTAAGATAATTTCTGTCCTCCAGCACAAATGATATATTTCATGTGTGACCTAGTTACTAGCATGGTATAGTTACTCAGATGTCATAATGAATGAGATAGATACTTAAAATGGTATTATTAGTTTCGATTAACTAAAAAATGATAATGATTTTTAAGCTAATCTTAATCGAACCTAAAGCTCAGTACTATACCAGATTATTAGTAATAATAACAGACTAATCTGAAGAGGCATTCTTGAAGTTATGCCGAAAAACCGTGATCAGTAGATTTCAACCATATCAGGTTTGTGGCAGTCACACATCAATGGCCTCAAGATATGAGTACTAGACATCGTGTATTGACATAGGCTGAAAATTTAAACCACTGTCTGCAAACTCACTGGTCTATGGGTTGAAAGGTAGTGAATTCTCATTGACAAAGAGTTCAACACTAGGATAAACGAACTGTCCAGTGCTTGCTGACTTTTGATGACTAATATCAATACTAATTGTAAAACAGCTACGTTCGTCTTATTTTAAATTAAAAACATTAAAAAAATCATTTATTTAAACAACCTAAGATTTTTCACCCTTATTTTAAATCAAAGTCCCTTGATTTGTACATACTCAACCCTGAATGAAAGAGTAAAACAGTAACTGACTTGAAATATTGGGTAAAATAAACTATGATACATTATAAATTAACTAAATTCGATTCAGTAATGCAAAATTAATTAAATTTTCACTCAATAAAACAAATTCCATCGATACAAACTGTAAGCAAAATTAAAAAGTAAATGGACACTACTAACAAATCTCAACACTTAGTTTGAAAATCATAGACAACTGTACCTTTTTAACAAAACGAAAACAAATAAATTTACGAAGTGTTGTTTGTGATGATACAAAACACCAGTCCGAATATACTACTTACAAACACTTTTTGTTTAATCAGTAGTAACATTAAATGTATTCAATGAATAAGCTTAATATTTAATAGAGCCTCAAGAATGATCCATCCATAAAGAATGGAACATATAATCAATACTTGTACACAATAAAACCATTCAATTGAATTACATGGTTGTGTAAATTGTGAGAAGCAACTGAACTAACTTAATTGAACTTACACATGTGAAACAAGAAATACATCTTGATAGATTTGCCTCTTTAGTTTAAATTCAGTATATAACTTACTGGATGACTTTCAACCTGTTAGTAATTCTATGAAATTATCTAGAAGCAAAAAGATAATCACTATCTTATAGTAGGAACTAAACTGAGCGTTGTTAAACTGAAATACAAAACTATCCATATATATATATATATATATATATATATATATATATATATGCATCTAAATATGCATGTTTGTTTGTTTGTCGTTTGTGGTTACTAGATCAGTCACATATATTCTGTAGTTTCATAGTTTTCATCATGGACTTATCTTAATATGACAACCATTGAAAACCAGAAAGTACTGCTCAGTTATTCTGCATGGTATCAGAATCACTTGTGTCCATCCACAACTCTAGCTTAGATATAATAATCAACTTTCAGGTCTAGCACCAAGCATTTAACCTCCAAATCACTGAGTTTATTTATTTAATGGTGGACATGTTTAGATTTATTTAGTTTGAGATATTGGTTATTCAGCTTTCAACGTCAATCCGTGTTGCAAACTGTGAAACTTAACAATATTTATAAACCCTACACAGTAATTATAGTATATAATGTCAATTGAATCCTTTCAATTTTGTATTAGATGATTACAGTAGATGGGAATAACACTATCGAACTCTGGAGTTTTCCAAAGACTTCATACTCTTTCAGAGAGGATACGTAATAAGAGTAGACTATTTAGCTGAAAATTCGGTCAATCGATCTTTTGATACTACTAGTTTAATATTACATCCCATCAATGTTGTATGTTCCGTTGCTGATATGACTGACTTCAGTTGTGAGCATTTTTAAGCTCTACAATAAACTATATCCTGATCACAAGTTTAATATTATAAAGTTGAATAAATAATGGAAATGACCAGTTAACTGACATTTATAGTTGA